AATTCACCAAGGGCAAATCGTGCTTGGCAAGCCTGATCGCCTTCCATGACAAAGTGACCTGCTCGGTCGATGTGTGGTGAGCGGTGGACGTTGTCTACCTGGATTTCTCCAAGGTTTTTGATACGGTTCCCCACAGTCTCCTCCTAGAGAAGCTGATGCATCACGGCCTGGACAAGGGCTCTGTGCGGGGGGTGGGAACAGGCTGCCAGGCTGCACCCAGAGGTGGGGGGAAATGGCTCCTTTTCAAACTGGCAACCTGTCACGGGGGGGGGTCCCCCAGGGATCCATACTGGGCCCAGCACTGTTCAGTATCTTCATAAGGGATCTGGATGATGGGATCAAGTGTACCCTGACGAAATTTGCTGAGGATACCAAACCGAGTGGAAAAGTGAATACTTGGGGAGAGCCACCCTGCAGGAAAACCTGGATAGGCTGGAAGGGTGGGCTAACAAGAACCTTATGAAGTTCAACAAAGACAAGTGTAAGGTCTTGCACTTGGGAAAACGTAATCCAGGAGTGCAGCACAGGCTGGGATCTACCTGGCTGGGGAGCAGCTCTGTGGAAAGGGACCTGGGGGTCCTGGGGGACAACCAGCCCAACAGGAGTGAACAGTGGGCTGCTCCTGCAGCAAAGAAAGCCAACAGGGAGCTGGGTTGCATTAACACAAGTGCATCAGCAGCAGAGATAAAGAAGTCATTATCCCACTCTACTCAGCACTTGTCAGGCCACACCTGGAATACTGTGTTCAGTTTTGGCCACTGTTAAGCAAAAAAGATGTGGACAGATGGGAGAGGGCCCAGAGAAGGGTCACAAAGATGATCGAGGGATTGGGGAGCCTGATGTATGAGGAAAGGCTGAGAGAACAGGGTTTGTTCAGCCTGGAGAAGAGAGGGCTTAGAGGAGACCTTATCACTATGTTCTGGTATTTCAAGGGTGGCTACAAAGAAGGAGACTCTGTTTTTACAAGGGATGACATGGAAAAGGGGAGGGGTGATGGGTACAAGTTACTCCTGGGGAGATTCTGACTGGACAGAAGTGGAAAATTTTCCCAACGAGAACAATCAGCCACTGGAATAATCTTCCCAGGAAAGTGGTGGATTCCCCCACATTGGACACTTTTAAGATTCAGCTGGCCAGGGTGCTGGGCCATCTTGTTTAGGCCATGCTTTTGCCAGGAAAGGTTGGGCCAGATAATCCTTGAGGTCCCTTCCAACCTGTTATTCTATGACCTGAAGAACATGACCACATCCCTGGGATGAGTGGGAAGACAGTGTGGACACCAGCTGCTTCATTTCACCCTTAAATTCTCTTTCAAACCTAAAGCCCTAGCCAGGCTGGGGCTCTCCCAAGAGGGGCAGGAGCACATCACTCACCCACTTCACCTTTCAGGGTAAGGCAGCAAAGGAGAAGATGTCCTGGAAATGCTGCTGCTTTCCAGGTTATTAATAGAGTCACAGTGAGCAAACCACACAGCCCAGAGCCCTGCAGTACTGTCAGTGGGGGAACACAGAAATCCTGGGGGTTATTGATACTAACCTGACTGTATAGAGCAAAGTGGTTTTATGGCACTGATGCATATGAAATCATGGGAGATTTGGGCAGAAAATAATCCCAGAATAGGCCTTTTGGAACTGCCTTGTGGTTGTAACTGGCCTCTGCCAGCTTGCCTTTGGGAAGGAATCTCTCTCATTGAGAACAATTTTTTGCTGCAGGTTTTCTGGCTCAGGCTGAGTTTTTGATGACTATATACTGCTTATGTATAGGTCAACGGAGCATACTTATCTGCACTTCCCTCGGCATCTTCAACCTCAAGAGGTTGATTGAACTTGGAATAGGATGGCTATTTGAAAACAAAGCCAGCGCTACAAAAAGGCTCAAGTGGGAAGCACAGTGCCCACAGCACACCCAGCCCAAGCCCCAGACCCAACCTGAGGCAGCCCTGGCTTGTCCCCTGCACCAGGACCAGCCTCTCATTGAGCAGTACCGCATCCCCCCAACCCCCCTTCCCCCCCACCCCAGCTCAGGGCTGAGAACCAGGCTACGACAGCCCCAAAAACTAAAGAAACCAGTTCTCACAACCACCTCCCAAACCCTGCCCGACCACAGCAGCTAGCGCTGACCCTACCTCAGCCCCAAGGGCAAAGCCACCGTTCTCCTCACAGACTCACCCCACCAGCAACCACAGAACCTGCCCCTGCACTGGGCAGGGGAGGCTCTTTGTCCTTAGGTAATTGGTGGCAGCTGATGGCACCATCCCCAGCTGGGGACACTGATTAGATTGGTGCCAGCTGGGCCATGCCCCAGAGGATGGGTCCAGCCTGGCAGGTACCTGGGTTATGGCAGCCCTGGGTTGTGCTGGGGGAGGGAGCCTGGACCTGCTGTTTGGCCTGCCCCCAACGCATGGAGTTAATTAAATTGATTTTGATTTTGCAAAGTGGCTGCAGTGCCGCTGCCTGGACTCCCCAGAAGCACAAGTGTCTTGCATGAATATAGATTAAAGTATACTCAGTATTATGTGCTCTTAATATTACGCATTCTCACGCCAAACTAAAGATGAGGACACTGATCTGGGGTTTTCCTGGAGTAATAAAGGACCTGGGGGATTTGCAGATTATTTTTTTTTTTCCTGTCTCCTATAGGTGATTTCTGGATGACAGTATTTTTTAGCTACCGGGGGACAAAGCAGCAGGCCAGGGGGGTTGGGAAGCAAAGCAGAGATCTGACGCTGTCAGTGGCTGGACCACTCCATGTCTCTGAGCCCACCACAGCCTGAAGGCCAGGCCCGGGTCACATCCTCGGCCCCTCGCCCGCCCCAGGGCAACCATGCCCGGACACTCCCCAGGAGATGGCAGCAGCCCTTTGTGTTCATGTCCTCCAGTGGGAAACCAGCCCCTGGCCACATTTCTGGGGGCTTCTCACCTCCCAGGGCAGCGATGGGCAGCGGGTCCGGCCGGGGCTTGGCTGAGGTGGCAGCTGGTGTGCAGGACCCTGCCTGGCCCCGGCGGGAGGAAGGCTCGGCTGCTGGGGAAGGAGAGCTTTGCTTGCCCCCCAGTCGCCGTGCCCTGCCTCAGCCTGGCCACGCTCCCGCCCCGGCCCCACGCAGCTGCAGGCACGCCAGCGACATTTCCACCTGTCCCGGAGCGCGGCTGCGGACACAGAACTGAACCAAGTCGAATGCCAGTTTTGCATGAGTGAATTTACTCGAGAAACGCACAATTTCTGGAACACAACGACTAGTCAGCAGGGACAGCGAGTGCCTGGGATTCCCTTGCATATCAGGGTGCCTGGGACGGCGCGTGGGGAGCAGCACCCCGAGCTGCGGGGTGGGAAGGGGCCGAGCAGCCGTGCCCTGAGCCGGGCGGTGACTGACCCTCCTAGAAACCTGCACCCACCCTGGGAACTTTGTCCTCTCTCTTCACCGGCTGCCCTGATTTTTCCTTGTTCGCAGCATTTTGCGAATATTGCACATCTTTGGGTTGGGTGGGTTTGTTGGTTTTTTTTTTTTTTTTTTTTGCATAGCAGGAGTAGGAAGCGAAGGCACGAGTGTCGCTCCCTGTATGGCCTTTCAGTTATTACTTGGCTCTTGTGCATAAACCCTGCCCTGCCCCATCAGTCTGGTATCACACACCGGCAAAACCATCCCGGGAAGATGCAAGTGCACCCCAGAGTTATTGACGATCCTCTCCTGTCATGGGGAAACTGCTTGTTAAAGTGGCTAAGTGGAAATGACCAAGGGACAAAAGCAAGTGCCACGACTGCCATGCTGTCGTGCGCTAATTAGAGCTGTGCAGCAGCAGCCAGTAATGACAGCACACGCAGGGGAAGCAAGGGCAGGACCGCCCGCACCCCAGCACCCTTCGCTGGGTGCCTCTGCATGCAGCAACCACCTTCCCCACCTCAGAGCTCACGCCAGCCCTGGTGCCACCTATGGTGGAATTGGGCCCTAACGTTGAGGCCGAAAACTGCGATATTTTTAACGCCTAGGTTCAGCCATGCCAAGTGGTTTCAATGACTGGTGGTGAGCAACCGCCGCCTGCTCCCCGGGGAGCACACCCGCCCCCCGGTATTTCTGGACACCCCTGCAGCTGGCGGGTCTTTTGTGAAGTGCTGTGCGTCCTTGGAAGAGAGGAGCCTGCTGCATCTGTGCTAAGAAAAGGCAGTGATACAACCCGGTTCTGGGAGCGACTGCTAAAAATAGCGATATCTGCTATCTGGAGAGCGGAGGGAGAGCCCAGGGTCTGCTTACAGGCAGGGCTGGCAGGCAGCGACGGCACCGAGGGCAGCGGCTGTTTCCCAGCACTCGGTGCAGAAAATGGTTCACTCTTCTCATTTAGCACATCCACGATTTCACGCTGCAGCTCTGGCAATGGGTTGTGGCGTGGGGTTTTTTGTTAACCAGTGACAACGTAAAATGCTCCCGCAACCTGGCTGGGTGCCGGAGGGCAGCACGTTTCCCACCTCTGCTACTGACCCTTCCCATCACTTTGAATATGTATTTTAATTTGTGGGGGGCATAACCAACCTCTCTCAGCACCTTGGCTGTGTTATTCAGCCGCTGCAAAGCAGAACCAGCTCCCGCCATGCCCAAGACTGGGCACACGAGCAGCTCGGTGCTGGGGGTGGGACGGGGAGCCCCCGAGCTCAGCCCCAGGTGAGCTTCACCGTGGGGCTGCCGGCAGGCTACTGGCAAGAGACATCTGCAAGCCTGCCCCGTGCCCGCCACAGCGGGTGACGGGGGGACTTTTCTATTGGTGGCTTTGCATCGGGCCCCTTCACAGCTTCTTGGTCCTTTTCATCCCAGACTCTTCCCGTGGGTGGACTGCCCACACTGATCTCCAAATGCCGACCACGAGCCCGTGGGATGCTGCAGCCCAGTGCAGATGGACGGAGCTGCCCCATCGTCCCAGCTGCCAGGAGACACCCTATGGCTACAACCCCATCTCCAGGATGGTGCTTGGCTGCAGATTGGCCATTCCCTGCCTGGAGAGCACGACCTGGGACTGCTATTACTTGCACTGGGATTATTTTAACCCCAAATCCTTACTCTAAAGACAAGCTCCCATTTCTATCTATAGGATGGTGCTGGGTTTACGTTCAAGTGAAGGGAGTGGGGTAGCCCAACCTGCACAGAGAGTAGTCTCTTGAGAGGTATATAAAGATGCTTCATAATCCCAAGTGAGGTAGCTGAGAGGCATGGTCCTGCTCCCCAGCAGGAAAGGACATGGTCAGCGGGGCTGTAGGAGCTGGTGCTGGAGGTGGGACGCCTCCCGGGGCCTCCCGGCCCCCAGCCCTCCCTGCCAGGCAGAGTTTCTTAAGACAACCAAGTTTCTACTTGGTCATCAGAGCACCTGGATGGAAAAACGAAGGCCAAGGGCCCAGAGAGCAAGCCGCGGGAGAAACTTCACCCTGGCCTTGCACCCTGGGCAGATTTCAGGCACTGGGGGTCTATTATGTTTGGGGTTTTTTTGCAAGTGAAAAGGCTAGGCTCAGAGTTGCAAGAGCCAAACCAGATGGGGAGGCAAGAATGGTCTTAAATTTTCATGTCACTTCATCTGCAGAACATGGTGAGGATCCATCAGATACATAGGCAAGAGAAATGTTGCATTTGGGTTTGTCTTCCAGTGCGCTGGTAGGATGCAGCCGGGCATGGCTGGGCTCAGAGAAGGTCTTTCATGAAATCTGATGGCAGGGCTTCCCCCGCCACATTCGCAGCGCCCAGGCCTGACTTTTTCCGTGTGACAAGCACCATCACCTGCACCGTCCTCTTCAGCCCCGGCTGGCAAGCAGCTCCATCAGCCAGGATAGCCAGGGGAGCGTGCCGGGGCGAGCTGCCGGGTGCCTGGGGGAGTTTGTAGCACTTGGGGTAGTTGCTGAAACACTCAAAAGTGTCGTTGCAGTTTCTGCAAGCCCCGGGGTGGTCACCAAAGCCCGGGGACGGGAAGGGCTGGAGCGCAGCGCTCGGGCAGCCGCAGCAGAGGAGGGTGCGGATGGCCTGGAGGAGCACCATGTCCTTGGAGAGAAACTTCTGGAAGTTGGGCTTGAAGAGCAGGTACACCAGGGGGTTGTAGAGCGTCGAGGACTTGGCAAAGACAGCTGACAGCACGAAGGCCAGTGCTGGCACCTGGCTGGCATCGCCGAGGACTGCCCACAGGGCAATGATGGCATAAGGGGTCCAGGCACCCAGAAACCCCAAGCACACGGCAATGCTCAGCTGGAAGAGAAGGAGATGGAGATGGTGGTGCCGTGAGCCTCCTGCAGCACATGCAGGAAGCAAACGCCCCCAGAAAACTCAGCTGTGTGCAAAGGGACCCCAAGCAGCCAGTCATATCCCCAGGGAAAGGTGCTCAGCCTCCTGGACCTGTCGCACTGGAGCGTCAGGGTGTCAGACATCAGGGCAGAAGCTCAGCATGTCCCAGCGTGGGCGCATAAACCTGCACTCACTTCAGGTGACTCACACCCTGTCCCACCTGGGAAATTCCGGAATTGCCTCCATCTGCTGCGCCAGATGGGTATGAAGCACCCAGTGACCCAGCTGGGACCAGGCCACCGCTGGACTCCAACAGCCTTTTGGCAGCACTCAAAATCCCTCCAGCAATCTGTGTGCCAGCATGCAGACCAACCAAGAGGCTCTGGAAATGGGCCATGCTCAGACCCTCCGCCTCTAAGCAGACATGAATGTTTCCTTTGAGGACAGGCTTGCAAGCTGTTTTCTTTCATGTTTGGTTTTTTTTTAAAGGTTATCCATTTTTTTTTTTTTATATATCCTTGGTAAATTATAGTATTAGCTTGTAGTCTGGGGAACAATGACTCATGCAAGCTCCTTTTATGATCTTTTCCAATGTAATTTAAAATTAGAGCTCCTCCACCTGATGGCTTTAAAGGAGGAGAAATGTGTTATTACCCACACTCATACAAACACCTGGAGAATTCACCAGGAGCGGCAGACACCCCAGCAGAAGGGGTCCTGCTGCATTTGCCTGCCCATAGGGTGGTGGGCTGGGGCAGGGGACACCCCAAGACCCTGCAGTGCCCCGAGGCCTCCCCTACCTTCACGATCAGGCTGTGCACGCTGCGGGCTCTGCGCTGCGGGGACGTGTGCTGCCTGACAGCTCTCCGGGACACCCGCACGGTCCAGAGGATCAGTGAGTAGGAGACGAGGATGAGGAGGCAGGGAAGAAGGTAGCAGAAGATGAAGAGGGCAAGGATGTAGAGCGTGGCTTCCCTGCTCGAGGCTTTCCACGTGATGCAGCAGGCTGTCCCGTAGGGCTCGGGGCCGTAGCTGCCCCACTCAGCCAAGGGGGCCGTGGCAAACATCAGGGCGTATGCCCAGACGCACAGCAGCAGCACTCCAGCATGGCAGGGTGAGAACTTGTTGCCTGTGGCAAAGGGACTGGGGTGAGGATGGTTTCCCACTGGCAAGGGGGAGCAGAGAGAGAGGAGCTGCGACCACAAGCTGTCTGCACCTCTAGGCACCGGGGATGAGGCCAACTGCCCTGGGACACGGTCAGGGCCATCCAGGCAGGGCAGGAGCTGCTGAGCACAGCACGGCAGCGCTGCAGCCGTGGGCAGAGCTGTGCCAGGGCTCACCCCAGGGCCCCGGGATGCACGGGTATCCTCCCGTCCCCTTGGGCAGGTGGCCAGAGCAAGGAGCCAAGAGAAACGTAAGGGTGGCAGGATCAGCAGTGCAGCCTCTCTTGGCTTCGGGAGGAATTGCTGGAAGGTTGTGTGGCTGCTGTGGTGTTGGGGGGACACTGCACCCACGGCCCTGCGGGGATACAGCTGCACCCACGGCCCCGTGGGCAGCCGGGAGGGAGGCTGCCTGGCTGCAGCAGCCTGGGCATGGGACAGGGACTGCTCAAAGCCATCCCAGACACTGTCACTGAAGGGCTTTTTCCACTCTAGCAGACTGAAGCAAGGAGGGTGGTGGGTTTTCTCCTCTTTGTCCCAACCTCCATCAAATCTAAAACTCTCTGTTCTTCCAGAAGTTCAGTATAAAGTGCTAAATCTTCAACCATATACAGGAGTAACATTTTTCTTTGAAACAAAGCAACTAAAATCACCTTGAGATTAGCCATTTCCTCAGGGAAAGGGGGCCGGGGCATCACAGAGAGATAAACTCAACGTGCCAGGCTGCCAAGCGCTGGCTCATCTGGAAAGCAGAACCTGCGCAGTACCTGGGCCGCCTTTTAACAGCCAACTTTTATCTCTATGTTTCCTTCTACCTTTTTAGTGATCTCCTGAGATGTTGTGCTGGCACATAACCAAGGTGACTCTGCTCCAGCATAGTCCTTGAGGTACCAAGAGCTGCTGGGGACAAAGCACATTGGCAGTTGGCAACAGCCGCAGGCTCAGGACAGATGAGCAGCAAGACATGGGAGAGAGGGTGAGGATGCACCCAGGGGTGCTGGTCTGCAAATTAAACTAATATCTTTGATTTCCCATTTTATATCTATTTCTGGTCTTTAATCCAAAATCTATTCTGCAGATACATGCTAGGTGGAGGATTAGCAGCTGAGATGAGGAAATTAAGACTCAGCTCCAAATAGGAAGAGCTGGAAATGCGTAGAGGACATCCCTGAGCCCCTTCACTTCCTCAGCTGCTCTCTGCAGTGCATGTCCCCCACAAAGAGCTGGTGCCCAAGCTTGGAGCTGCAAACATTCACATTAGCTCTGCAGAAAAAGTCCAGGCGAAAATAGGGCTATGGAAGTGAGCTGTAACACTGCAAACCCAGCCCTCCTGTATTAATTATTTCAGTGAACTAAATATATTTGGCCTATGGCTATCCCACCAGGGACAATGGAAAGTGGCTCTTCTTTGCACTGCCAGTTTGTGACTTCCCAGATGCAGAGTCTGCTCTGGCCTACACTCAAATCTATGTATGGATGTTCGAAACCCTGTGACCTGCGGTGATATGGCAGCTGGGACTTTTCTACAGAGGGAGGACAACTCCCTTGATACTTTTCTAGATGATGCTCCTGAGCCCTAGAGTGAAGCAGGATCTGGAGGCAGGGATGGCTGGGATGCAAGCACAGGGCAGGGGCTCCACAGCCCCACGCAGGTGGAGAGCAGTGACTATACAAGTGATAAAAACCTTCAGAGTCTGCTGCACCACTGTATTGACTGGGAATAGGTTGCCCTGGGGCAAAGCTTTCCCAGAAGAGGTGGATCTGGCCCATAAAAACAAAGGGCTATGTTAACAGAGAGGAATATAAGTATAGATCAGATAACGCATCCCAGCACCTACCATATGCTGGGTAACAGACCTTCAGGCAGCAAACCGTGCTGAGCACCGTCAGGCTGGAGAGGCTGCACAGCCCGAACAAGACCCCGCAGAAGGCGTAGAGGGTGCACACCGCCTGGTTGAACAGCCACCTGCAAGGGAAAGCCCGCGGGTAAACCCAGCGCCTCCCGTCTGCATGGGGCAGCTGGCTGGCAGCCCCTGCCCTGCGGCTGGATGGGAATTTTCTCCGTGGTCGCTGCTCTGGAGGAAGGCTGGGTACTTCCCAGCTGCTCTCCTGGTGGTGGGGCCTCATCTGCCCGTCCCACACCAGAAGCAAAGCTGGCCATGCATGGGGTGGCTGCAATGGGCTGCACGGATAACAGCACCCGATTGCCCAAGAAAACATGGGCATGATCTTGCCCCTAATTTGTTCCCCGAGCATCCCAGTGACGAGCACAGATGGAGCCACAGGTGTGGGAGCTGCCCTGATGTCAGGAGAGATGCAGTGCACATCACTGCAGCATCCATGTCATGCGAGTGCCAGATTGGAAACCCACCACCAAACCCCTTCCACAGCAGACCTATGTGATAAACCAGAGGGACAGGGAATAGCAAAGCATCCTGCTGCGGGATGGATGTCTGTGAGGTCACACGGTGCCCCACTGACACCAGACTGACCCCTTGGGTCCCTCCGCACCCCCCTGTCAGGGATCTCTCCATTTCAAGACGAGGTTTGCAAACTGCACCTGGGGCTGTTGGCCAGTGCAAAGATGCTTCCACAAGGTACCTGTGTGCAAAGAAGGACGAGGTGGCCAAGGGGAAGAGTATCACCGTCATGCTCAGGTCACTGATGGCCAGGTTGACAATGAAGAACTCTGCAGGCTTCAGCATGGACCTCTTCTGATAGGCCACCAGCAGGAGCAGCGAGTTCCCTGAGAGGGACACAATGCCTGCAGAGAAGGCAGAAGAACAGTGCTGTATGTAACAGAGTCAGGAAAGGAGCCAGGATCATCTTGAGATGTTTGGAAGCAAACACCAGAGATGTCCACAGTGGGTGGAAAGGGCTGCAGGCTTCCCTCTCCAGAGCAGGCTGAGCAGGGGAGCCCATGGGACCTGCAGAGCTCTGTGAGCACATCTGGAGCTGCTTTACATTGAATTTGATCCCTTCCCCTTCCTGAGATCCTACAGAGGCATTTGGTAGGAGGGAAGTGATGGGATGAGACTGCAATGAGCTCCGGGTGCAGGATCTGGACAGAATCACTTCTTCCAGCTGGAAGGAGCAAGGGGGACACTTCCTCCCAGCTAGATAAATAACGGGACCTTTGTGTGATTGTTCTTCTGATCTGAGGCCAAGGAGCTGGGCCTCTTTGCGTTTTTAATTTTTTCCTGTCAATGTCACCCCTGTGAGTCTGTGTTGTCCAATATCATGGTAACAAACAAGAAAGGCATTGTGAAGATCAAGGAAAATCCAGACTAAACAAAAGAAGACTCTTTGCTTGCTATTAGTGTATTTAAAATAACACTGATGATTAAAATTTTACAACAAGGGCTTTCTCTTTTTTTTGTTACATAATTGTGCTTTCACTGAAAAGAGGTATCAGTATCCTCAGAAGGGGAATCTTTGCTGATCTTGGTGCAGGTTGGATGGGACAAGAGTTTCTCCCTAATAGATTAGGCTGTAAATTAAATATCATGGTGAGAACCACCTTCCAAAGCCACTGAATGGCCAACACTAAAGTTGCCCTCAGGAACAGGATTCCCACGCAGGACCTGGCCAAATCCAGAGCTTTGGAGGCTTCGAAGTCACTGGAAGGTAGAGTACTGAGATGTCTGTCCTTCCTAGCCTCACATGGCATTTTTCCCACTGAGCTAGTCTCACATCAGTACTAAGTACCTTTTATTAGCTTTACTAACTCCTAGGAGCTGTAGGTGCCTATAGGACTGCTGATAGTCCCAGAGGTGTGTGCATCCCTTGGGTTCCCCATCCTCGCAGGCATGAAAAACTCTTCTAGCATTTGGACACAACTTACTCAGGGCTCAGAAAATTGGAAGGCTTTTCTTTGCCCATTGTTCACTTCTGGCCCACACTGACCAGGTCTAGGCCACCTCAGAGCACATCCCAGCCCCTGCTGGCTTTTCAGTGCCATGAACTCCAAATCACAGGACTTCCACCAGCATCTTCTGCTGAAAGCAAGGGCCAGCTGGACATCCATATCACCTTCAACAGTCATGAAGCTGGCAATGCTAACAGAGAATCCCTATCCATCTCACATTGGGTGGCTGCAGTGGGAGTTACAGCACATTCCTCAGAGGTTGTTCTTCAACTTTCCAAATATATAAAAATGTAACTGGCACTTGCAGTTCCCCCAAGAAGGGAATGCAGTCACCAAGGTTTGGCCAGATCATCCTTTTGAGTAAAGTGGGGTGGGCTAGCATGGGAAGGACCAGTTTGATTATTCTGCTAACAATTGAACACTTTTGGAAGCATCAGTGACTGCAAAAGACCTGAACATCTCTGGCAGTCAGGCATCTGGACTGCCCACAGCAGGGAGAGAGGTATAACAGGCTGTCTTTCCTTACCAAAGACTAAATAGAGTGTGCCAAAAATCAGGTCTTCTCTCTCCGATAAGGTGGAGATAAACACCGAGGTGTTGGACACATTTCCCATCTGCAAAGGAAGACACAAATGAGAGTGAATTTTGGCTAATGAAGGAGCGCTCGGCTTCCTCGGTTCGCAGGCCACCGCTCCGCGACACGCTCCTGGCACCGCGCTACAACCAAGGCAGCGGCGTGCAACCCCCGACAGCTGGGCACGGGGCCGGTAACGGGGTCAGGCTGGGAATCTCACTTGATTACCACTTCTCCAATTACAGATTTTACTGATTAGCATTAGCCTTTGGATCTAAATTTTCTTTGCATGTCTCGGCCATGTGCTGACTGCAGCGGGCACTGTGTGTTTGGATACGGGGACCGGCTGCTCAGAGCTGGAGGCTTCGAGTTCTGCAAAGTCCTCCGCCTCCTCCAGACTTGCCCCATCCTTCACGTGCCTCCATCTGTCCCTGTGTCCACACCAGAAGAGAGACTTGGCCCAAACTCTCTTTGCGATGTGGCCAAGACCTGCTCGTGTGCCATTCCAGTAGCGTATTAACTGCCTCTATACTGTGTGCTGAGAAGGGCCCATGCAGACAAGGGGACTTGCAACAAGCTGTTCATCAAACCCGGGCCCAGCAGACCCCACAGCTGGGGACAAAAAGCAGTCGTCACCCCAATCATCACTGCTCCTGGCTGGGACCTTCCTTCTTCAGCTGCAACTAAGTCTGATCCTCACTGCCAGCAGCGCAGGCAGTAAAGTAATTGATGGTGAACACATGTATTAACAAAAAAAAAAAAAATAGTAGCAAAAAGTCATTCCCTTTCTTGGGGTGCCTGACTCAATCATTTAGTTTTATCGGCCTAATTAGTTTCCCTGTCATTTCGTGCAGCTGAGCCAAAGGTTCCCAAGTGCTTAGGAAGTTAATAGAGGGTGGTAGAGTAGAACAGCAGACGCATTTCAGTATATTCACTCCCTTCACTGATAACAAATAAATGGAAAAATATTTTGTTCAGGTGAAGGAAAAAAAAAAAAAGAGAGGGAGCGAGAGAAAATAATGGTTTAATTATATGTTTCAATAGCTGTTAGCTTGCTTGCTGGGATGTTTAATGCATGCAGTACTCCTGCCTCCTTCCCAAGGTCCCTACTTGCACGCTGCAGGAGAACTGAAGACAGTGCCCTGGCAGAGCAGGGGCTGGGGAGGGCAGGGCAGCAGGGCCCAGCCACTGCACAAGTGGCAATGGGCTGCTTATTCCTGCCCCATAGCCTGGTCTTCACAGGGACTGTGAGCTGGAACAAGGAACAGATTTGGCCTTATGGAGAGGAGGGGAATAACAGTAAAATCCCCAGCACAGATCCCCGCCTGGCCTCTCGGTGCCATGAGGTGGCTTGGGAGCTATTGCGATGGCCAAGAGCCGTGGGAGGCAGAGCCTTTCTTCCTGTGGGTTTTGCTGACATGGATTTCACAGAGCAATTACCCTTGTTATCCATACCCAGGTGAAAATGCTCACCTCACATCCAAGGCTGCATTCAGACAGATGGAGCTAATCACTTAAAGTAACGAGTAAATTAGCTTTGAGTATAAATGTATTTTAAGACTCTAATTGGTGTTAAACTGCCAAAAGAGCCTGCCAATAGTTCTTCATTCTCTGTGTTACTGGCCCATACAGCCAAATACTGATGGACCATAGTTCCTCTAGCCTACTTCATGGCTTGCTTGGGTTACAGGCACACAACCTATGGAATGTTTACAGTTCACATAGTCCCACTTGCTACTTTTCAGTGAGCCTATCACAAGCATCTGATGTTAAGCAATCAAGTATTTTTATGGTTGATGCCTACATACCATGAGTATGATGCAGTTTCCTCTGCAGGCCAGGCAGGATGCTGGTTAATTTAGTAAATGGGAGCTGCAACGGTCATCCATGGTTCTTACTTCACTCTATTGAACTTCTGGCCTCTCTGGATGGTTTCTGATCCCCCTATGAACAGAGATGGTGGAAAGCAAGAGAACCAGTCTGTGCAAAACAGTCCTGGCTACTGTGTGCTGCAAAGAGGTGTCACACACTGAGGACAGAAGGAGCAACAGCAAGCCAGGTTTTGGCTCGCTTGCTCTAATAGACATGGCCAAAGCTCTTATGCTGCTGGCAGATTCCAACATCCTTGAGACATGTTTTGCCCAGGTTATTGGTTTGACAGCTTGATGCAAATGTGATTTTAAATTAAGCTCCATTTACATCAGCCTGCTAAACTGACAGAGGCTCTCAGGAAGCGGTGTGGCACACTTGCCTCCTTCATCAACTCATTTATTGGCTTTCTGGAATGAGAAAGAGGTGCTGCACTGTTTTGAAATGTCCCATTCTCCTGCTTGGGTCTGAAAATTCTGGTATGTGGCACTGCATGGACATTGTGAAGGCAAACACGGACAGCTAGGAGGTCTAACCAGTTCTGTTTGGGTTTCCTAGTACAATCTTTCACTTCAGAGAACTGACCACCACTCTTGGGATTTTTCCAATCTTTTGCTGTGCAAAACAAGGGACATTGAACAATGGCATGTACTTTACCACAAAAGTAAACCCCAGCTATTATTTGCTGGCTTGGAAAAGGCTGCTAGCCCTTCGGGTTTGATATACAAGCACCTATGGGAAAAAGCACCAAGCAGTGTGATTGCCTAGGCAGGCTGACAGCCACACAGCTAGTTTGTTACTTGAACATCTAAAATGTCCCCTGTCTTGTTACTAGTATGTACAAATACAGTACATCAACTTCTCATACATCATTATTTGTATTTATGTACATGCAGTTTTGATGTTCAGTCTTAAAAATTCATTACCTTTTAATAATTGCCTGCTAAAATGCACAAGGAAAACAGTAATATTTGCATCTTAGAGGCTTCCTACTTTAAATAATACATTGTTGGTGTCAGAGCAGCAACTTGACTTGAAGGACTCTCCTTGCCAGCCCAGCACACACTTTGCAGGTGTGCACTCCCCTGATCTCCTTATCCTTATTCTTTCCTGGCTGGTGGACGCTGCTCTCAGTTCTGCTTTGGCACTGGGGTAGCCTTAGATCCCTCTAACACATTTGAATGTCCTCATTTGTGTGATATACTTCAGCTGCATCAGTTTGCTTTTCTTAGCAAACATAATTCACAAGGTGCTTGCTTTACACCCTTCCTACCCTCCCCCTGTTCATCTCGCCTGGTCCCAGTACAGAGAACCAAGCCCTGCCAGCATGGCCCCACAGCAGCAGATGCTGCTCCTGAGGAGTCACTGTACCCACCGCCCGCTCGCTTGGGCTTTCTAGCTGCTCTGGGCAGAGTGGAAACTCCCTGGCCAACCCTGTAAATGTCTACACGACAGAATTACCAGGGCACGGAAAGTTGGATTCTAGGCAGAAATCGGCCAAGATCCACCCTGAGCTCTGCTTAGAGAGAAACGGGTTTAGGCAGAAAATTAACCCAGCTAATATTAACATGGGAAGCTGTACGCCAGTCCTCAGCCTGCACTGGATACCCAGGGAAGCAATTCGCTGCCTGATCTGTCTCCTCTTGCACCACGTTAAAAGCATCCCAGAGTAACTCAGTTTGCTCAGCTCACCACCTGCTTGCAGGCTCTCACTCACAGGTTTATGCTGAAGGTGACTGTCCCCTCTCTGTGTCCTCAGCATGACTGATGGCACCTGCAGCTCCGGGAAGCTCCTTCCTGCCTGCCCAGCTGAAGCACTGGGACATGCCGGTGTCCAGCCAGGGTGGCCTTTCCCATTTGCTCCCTGGGAGCTTGGGGAATCAAATCAACAGGAATCTTGATCAGAGCCCATGAATCCCAGCCAGAGGCACAAGCACAGAGGTGGTGCCAGGCAGCTTTAAGCTGTCCCTCCTTGTTCCAGTCTGTGCTGGGCCCGTCTTTCAGCAGATATTAAAGCAATAGCAAAACTACCATTACCTGCTCTGGGAGCTGAGTAGCCCCAGGCCCTGTGACTCGTGTGCTCCCTCTGCAAGGGCATCCTGCAGAAACCAGCCCAACCGTTGCACTCCTGCGAGGTTACACCCACGTGCAAACCATGCTCTGGGCATCGAGTACACACTGCTTGATTGCAGAGAAACTACAAAATCATTTAGGAGGGGAACGCAGGAGTTCTGAGGGTGGGAGATGATTGTTTTCTCCATTTACAAGATCAATCATTTCAATAAAAGGATGTTCCTGCATACCTGGTACTGACCCTGTGATGTGAGCCCCTTGCAAGCACTCCAAGTGCCTCACACCCAGGGTTCAAGCTGAATCTCTCCCTTTATTGACTGTCCAGTGGAGGCTTACTTTCTCCCTTGAGATTTCCACTGACAATCCCAATTTGCTGTAAGTACCTAGCAGGAAAAGGGGAAACATTTCTCAGCATTTTTTCACTTGCCCTGTGCAAATCTTGTCCCTAGCCTCAAATCCTCACCATACTACACAGTGACTCAAAGAATAGCAAAATAAGTGGGGCTTGTGTTCAAGTTTTGTTTAAAACCTTGTGAACCATTTTATCTTAAGAAAAAGCAGCAATGGCAAAACTGGGCTTTAGTGGAAGACACTTGGCTGCAAGACAGACAACGAGGGGATCTCAGGCTTTAACTGAAGGGAACAGGCTGAACTGATGGGACACTGCAGAAAACTTCTCTGATGAGATTTCTCCATCACAAGGAAGCAGAAAAGGTTGGAGCCCAACTTCTCCATCTTTCAGGCCACCCTCTAAAAGGTTTGTGAGCAGATGGGCTTTCCTCCTCACCAGCACATTCAGGAGCAGGCAGGGCAGGGTGAGAACATCGCTCTGATGCACATGCATAATTGTCAGGGTGAAAGAGCTGCTTCAGAGTATTTAATTTCACAGCTAACGAAAATCCTATCTCAATGTGCTTTCTATGATGAATGTCCTTAGGAGCCTACCTCTCCCTTCCCTGTGTGCCAAATCATTTTAATTGACACTAAGGTTAAATTTATTAGAAAACCACCAAGTTATTAGACCCACGGTATGACATTGTGGCAGTGGAAAGGGAAGAAGGGAGGAGGTTTTGCTATTCACCAGCTTCTAAGTTTGTC